ACACCGGAGCGAGCACGCGGTCGTCGGCGGCTGGGGGTCGTGGATGAGAGGGGTCATTGTTGGGAGCGGTGGAAGAGTTGGTAGGTGGTTGCGTTTTTCTTGTCGCTGGAGATGGGTGGGTTAGTGCTTGGATTAACCGGTCCCAGACAGGGGGAGAAAAACTTACATCCACTGCTTCCGGGGAGGCATTTTTAGCGGTAGGTCGTCCGAGGACAAGCGTTGGAATTGGGATGATTGGAGAATAATCGAAAGATGCAAGCTTTGGGCGTTGGGCGAAAATTCAAGAAATTCGTGGGGGAGATAAAGTCACGTGGGTGTGCTTATCGAGGACCCGGTGGGTGCGCAATGCGATGGGCTCTATACAAATACACGTTGTAGACTACAGGAGATGTAGTGGTCTTGAGTTCTTGATGTAGACTCAATCCTCCAATTGAACTTTCGGTCTGCTTTTCTCAGCATTCGACTTCCACTCTTGTTGCTGATGCTGCAGAGACCAATAAAAAAAAAGAAGGGGAAAAACAGCTGCTGAGTCAGCCTTATCTTATCCGCGCGGGGCAAATCTGATTGGGCCAAAACCCGCAAGTGGGATTAATTCTTCTTTTCTCTTCACCTTTACAAATCATCCTGCAATTACTCTTCCCCCTCCACAACTACATCTACCCTTTTGCCCTTCTCTTTTTCCCTTTACCCTCCCCTTCTATACCTCTTCCTCACCTTCCTCTCCCTTATCTCCCTTATCTCCCTCCTCTGAACTGCTCCGCAGTCACCCTTCGCCACCATGGTGTTGGCCAAATCCAAGAACGCCGTGGGGCTGGGCAACAGCCTCATGAAGGACCGGTTCGGCAAAGGCAAGGCCTCGAACCAGAAGAAGGCCTCACACAACGCCGGCATCGTCCGCAAGGACATGAACGGCGAAACCTACGTCACCAACGCGCAGCAGGACGCCTCGTGGGTTAAGATGCGCAGTATCACCGAGCAGGCGGCGCTGGACGAGTTCCTGAGCACCGCCGAGCTGGCGGGCACCGACTTCACCGCCGAGAAGATGAACAACGTCAAGATCATCCACACCGACCAGAAGAACCCCTACCTGCTGTCCGCCTCCGAGGAGAAGTCCGCCATCACCAAGCACCGCCAGAACCGCGGCCGGCTGACTGTGCCGCGCCGGCCTCAGTGGGACGCCTCCACCACCCGCCAGCAGCTGGAGCAGCTGGAGAAGGAGAGCTTTTTGTCCTGGCGCCGCGGCCTGGCCGAGCTGCAGGAGAACCAGGACCTGCTGATGACCCCCTTCGAGCGCAACCTGGAGGTCTGGCGCCAGCTGTGGCGCGTCATCGAGCGCTCCGACCTCGTCGTCCAGATCGTCGACGCCCGAAACCCCCTGCACTTCCGGTCGGAGGACCTGGAGGCCTACGTTAAGGAGCTCGACCCCCGGAAGCAGAACCTGCTGTTGGTGAACAAGGCCGATATGTTGACGGAGAAGCAGCGGGTTATGTGGGCGGACTACTTCGATCGCCATAACATCAGTTTCCGGTTCTTCTCGGCGCACCTGGCCAAGGAGCAGAACGAGGCCCGTCTCCTCGCGGAAGGGTCTGGATCGGAGAGCGACAGCGAAGTTGATGAGCAGGAGGAGCAGGAATTGGCGAAGAACACCCAGGCCATGAACATTCAGGACGGCGAAGCGCAGCGGGAAGAACATGACGGCGGATCGGAGCTGCCTTCTTCGTCCGCCAGCAAGCGAACGGAGATCCTCAACGTGGACGAGCTGGAGGAGCTCTTCCTGTCTAACACGCCCGACACCCTCCCCGTCAACAACACGCCCGACGGCGAGCCCATCAAGCGGAAGACGACCATCGGTCTGGTCGGATACCCCAACGTGGGTAAATCCAGCACGATCAACGCGCTCCTGGGCGCCAAGAAGGTGTCCGTGTCGGCCACCCCCGGTAAGACCAAGCACTTCCAGACGCTGTACCTGTCGCCGGAGATCATGCTCTGCGATTGTCCCGGTCTGGTGTTCCCCAACTTCGCGACCACCAAGGCCGACCTCGTGGTCAACGGTGTCCTCCCCATCGACCAGCAGCGCGAGTTCACGGGGCCGGCCTCCCTGGTCGCCCAGCGCATCCCCAAGCACTTCCTCGAGAACGTCTACGGCGTCAAGATCCTCATGCGCTCCGTCGAGGAAGGCGGCACCGGCATCCCGACTGGCAGCGAGGTGCTGCGCGCCTACGCCCGCGCCCGCGGCTTCTCCACGCAGGGGCTGGGCCAGCCCGACGAGTCGCGCGCCGCCCGCTACGTGCTGAAGGATTACGTCAACGGCAAGCTCCTCTTCTGCCACCCGCCCCCGGTCGACGACGGCGGCGCGCCCATCGACCCCGCCGAGTTCAACAAGGAGCTCTACGACCTGGCCCACCTCCCGGAGCGCCGACAGGCCCAGCTCGCCAAGATGATGGCGGCCGACCCCCTGGGCGCCAACGTCGACCCGGAGACCCTCTCCCTCCTCGGCGTCACCGGCACCAAGCAGCAACCCGTGCAGGGCTCGCTCGCCCGCAACCTGGACAGCGGCTTCTTCGGCCCCGGCGCCTCCTCCTCCCGCGGCCAGATGATGCTCCCCTTCAACTCGCAGTACACCGAACAGGGCCAGCAGATGCGCAAGCAGCTGACCGGCCGCAAGGAGCGCATGATGGTCGCCCTGGAGCGCGGCATGGATGTCTCCGAGGTGCGCAGCGCCAACTCGAAGAAACACTTCAAGGCCAACAAGAAGCGGGCCAAGAAGGTGCGCAAGAACGGCACCACTGAAGATGATTATTAGTGGTGCTCCAGCGTCGTTTCCTTTTTGTTTTCTCGGGTTGACTCGCGGGCGAGTGCGGGGACGTTGATGATTTTTGTGTGTCTGTGGTATTGGATTTGGATGAATCATGAAATGAACACAAAAGCTGTGGGGTGGGTTCCTTTCTTAATTTCTTATATCCCGGTATAAACTACACCTGTCTGGTTTTCTTCTTGTTTATGTTATCATGGTCCATGGGTTTTCGTTATTACTTCGTGCATGGGAATGAGGCTATGAAATATTACATACATTTCCGATATACCTTAACCCCATGGGGCTCTTCCTAGTTTTCCTGAGTACTTGCAAACGGTACCAACCTCCTCATTCAGCTAAGTATACGATGAAGTAGAGAAAACAAACAGGAGGGCCCAGCACTACAACCGGCCCTTAATCTTCAACCCGGTCTGGCTCAACAACCTCTCGCCCTCGCCGCGCTGCCACTCCAACTTCTGGCGGATCTCGGCCTTGCGGTCGCGGTTCTCGCGCTTCCCGAGCTGCTGCAGATGCACCTCATCGGGCCCGTCGGCGATGCGCAGCGTCCGGATCAGCGCCCACATGTACGCGAGGGGGGTATCCTGGCAGACGCCGGCGGCGCCGTAGGCCTGGACGGCGCGGTCGATGACGGCCAGGGCGGTCTGGGGGACGAGGACCTTGGCCTGGGCGATCTCGCGGAGGGCGGACTTGGCGTCACCCTGGTCGATCTTGATGGCGGCGTTGAGGACGATGAGGCGGGCGGCGTCGATCTCGATGCGCGAGCGGGCGACCCACTCGAGGATGACGCCGTGGCTGGCCAGGGGCCGGCCGAAGGTCTGCTTGCGGTCGTCGTTGATGCGCGCGATCAGCCACTCCAGCGCCTTCTCGGCCGCGCCGATCGTGCGCATCGCGTGGTGGATGCGGCCCGGCCCCAGCCGGCCCTGGATGATCTCGAACCCCCGGCCCTCGCCCAGCACCAGGTTGGCCGCGGGCACCCGCACGTTCTCGAAGCTGATGTGCCCGTGGCCGTGCGGCGCGTCGTCGTACCCGTACACCGTCAGCATCCGGTGCACCGTGATCCCCGGCGTGTGGGCCGGCACCAGGATCACGGATTGCTGCTTGTAGGGGTCCGGGTGGTCGGGCGCTGATTTGCCCATCACCAGGTAGATGGCGCAGCGGGGGTCGCCGGCGCCGGAGGACCACCATTTCTTGATTCGGTGGTAGAGTCAGTTCTTGGCCATGTGGTGGTGATGACAGTAAAGAGACGTACCGATCCATTCAAGACATACTCATCCCCTTCCCTCCGAATATTCAACTGGATATTCGTGGCATCGCTCGACGCCACCTCCGGCTCCGTCATCAGAAACGCAGACCGAATCCGGCCTTCCAGCAGCGGCGTCAACCATTGCTGCTTCTGCGCCTCGTTGCCGTACTTGGCCAGGACCTCCATGTTGCCCGTGTCCGGGGCGGCATTGTTCGTTGCCTGAGTTTGGTGGTTGGTTAGTTCTTGTCCTCAAACCAATCACTCTCTCCAACTCTTAATGCAAGAGAAACAAATCCCCATCCATCAATCCAACTCAACCCAAACCTCACCCCTCAAGCAAGCACCAACCCAACCCCCTCCACTCAAAAAGAAAGAAGGACCTACCTCAGAAGCAATCAAACTCTTCCCCAAATACTCGGCCATGAGCCCGTACTCCAGATTCGAGAAGCCGGCGCCCTGGGCGAAGTGGTTCTTAGGCAGGAACATGTTCCACAGGCCGAGCTGCTGGGCGCGCGCCTTCAGGGTCTCCATGACGGCCGGGTGGGTGGTCCATCGCTGCTCGCCCTGGCCCAGTTGGGCCTGGAAGACCGCCTCGGCGGGGATGCAGTCCTTCTCGACGAACTCTTCAACCTGTTTGTGGTGTGTTAGCAGTCTGAGGTTGAGCTGGGGACGGGCGCCGGGGGGGGGGAGGGCATGGGGGCCTTGGGGATATACCAGGTCCAGGGTCTTCTTGGCGCGGTCGCTGACGAAGGGGAGGGCGATGGGGGGGATGCGTGTGGAGGCAGGCATTGTTGATGGCGTGGTTCTTCTCGGGTGGTTGGGTGAGTGGTTCTTTGATTGAATAGTTCTTTGGTTGAATGAAAGGGTGAGTGAAGAATGAGGGGACAAGAGGAACGGACTTGAAATTAAAAGAAAGGAAGCGTCTGGATCAGACGATGGAGTGGAAGTAGTATTCGAAGAAAGGTTGGAAATGCGGAGAGCGACAGAAAGCGGAGAAGATGCCGATCGGGACCTCGGCTGATTTGGGTGGTGGTCACCCTTCTATAGTATACATACTCCGTACACAGTATAAACAGTACAGTAACTCACCCCAATCATACGAACAAACACATCTCGAAAACAATCCATCAGTAAACCATTTAATTAAAAAAAAAGGAAGCCATCATGATAATAAAGAATCCCCTCAGCTCCAAAGTCCAACCAACCCAGAGAGTCATGTCCATGCCCGTCCGTAATCTTCCCAAATCCAACCTCGGTTGATTTTCCTCCCAGTTTTAACCCTCCATGATTGAAGTTTCATCAACAAAAAAACAAAAACAATCTCATCCCAAGCATGACAAACAATCCCGAACGTGAGAAAAAAACCAAGGTTATCAGAGCCATCCAGCAAAGGGGCTAGACGGATAACCAGGTCGAAATAAGAAAAAATAAAGGTAAAAAGGAAAGGAAAATCTCTTCTCCGGCGACCCGCGCGAGAGAACAAGACACAACAGAGACGTCTCTACCCCATAAACATCCTCTTAGGGTGGTGGTAGTCTTAGACCGCGCTCTCGGTATTCTCCTTCTCCCGCTGAGCCTCGGCCGCCGCCGACTGTTCGAAGTTCTTCTTGCCCAGTTTGGCGAACAATGATTGGGGCTTGCCGGCACTGCATGGAAGGATCTCGCTGTTAGTCTTGAGTTCATCCTCCCCAAAATAGCTGAGGGATCTGGCACAGCAAATGACAGAAACATACTTCTTGAAGCGCTTGCCCTTGAGGTCGCTCAGCTTCTTCGAGCAAGGGCTCATGAGTTCGTCCGAGGGCGACACGTAGCTGGCTTGGTTACTGCACGCGTTCCCTCGTTAGTAACAATTCCATTGACACAGCAAATCAACCCGGGGCAGATCTTGTATTGTGCATACCTTTCTCCGCTGGCCAACTTGCCCTGCAGCTTTTGGCGGTGGTAGTCCATCGAGTTCATCGGCTTGCCGGTCTCCTCGGCAGTGCCCAGGTGCGTGTTGGTGGAGCGGTCGGTCAAGGGTTGAGCGTCCATGGTGGTGATGGTGGATATGTGTTATGGAGGAAGTGGATTGGGAGAGATCTGGTTTGTCTGATAAACGCGTTGTAGAGGAAGTTCTTTAGATGGTGGTGAAGTGGAGGCAGAGAAAGACAGAGAAGGCAGAGAGAGAGAGAGGCTCAAAAGGATAAGCAGCGGCCGGCCAGCGGGAAAAAAACCGTGTCGATTGTTGGCATGGCAACCACCACAATGAGATCATTCTCCAGCAATTACTTCATTCATTCATTCATTCATTCATTCATTCACTCACGCATTCAAGTCATCCTTGATCGTCAACTCCTCTAGGCGAATTAGAATTAAAATACACGGTGCTATACGTGGTCTATTCATCATCGTGTCGTGTCTTGATATACGTATACAAATATACAAACAACCTAATTCACGCCAGCCCAACAAAACACACAGATCCAGACACACAAACAGAAAAGACAAAGGATGAAGTTGACCTGGAAACACGCAGGGACAGACAATCAGAAATGCCGATAAGCCTTTCTCGGCCACCTATCATATCCCTGCGCTTCTATTTGCCACTGTCCTACCCAGGCCAGGCATTTATCGCCCTGGCGAGTCATCGACGATTTCCACGGGAGACGCTTCGGATCCAGGGGTGGTGGTCCCCTCACGCGGGAGATCAGGCGGGCTACTACGCGATCGCTGCGCCGGTGGAACCACCTCCGGCAATTCCAGGGTACTCCCTCTCTGCTGTTCCGGATCCTCATCTTCGGCCGAACTCAGTGCATCAGAAACAGGCGTGGGCGGCGAGTACGCCAGCGTTGGGCTGAGAAGCTCGTCCTGCGAGTCTTCGGACAGGTTCCGTCGATGGCCGCCGGTGCGTCGGCAAGAAGACGTCGCACGCGTTGACGTCGGGCTTACCAGTGGAGAGCCGTACGGAGGGGACGGCGACGAGGAAGAGCGCAGACTGTACGACCGCGTGACCATGTTCTGCACACGAGGGATCTCAATGTACCCACTCGCGGTGCCCCGCGCAAAGAGTACCAGCCCAAAGCAGAAGAGAATCATCATGCTCTGGATAACCGCCACGCGTTTCTGGAAGACCAGCTCGTCCGCCAGCACGCCCAGCTGCGAACTGAGCGAATGGATTTCTTGGTGATACTGAATGCGCTGATGCTCAAACTCCAACGCCACGCTCTTCCACACCTGATCGTATTGCTCTCGAACCTGTTTCAGCTCATTTAACACGGTCACGTTCAAGCCCTCCAGAAATGTCGACGTCTTCGTCAGCTGCCGCTTCTCGACCTTGTCAAAGGCGTCGCGCAGGATGCGTGATTGTTCTTCGATGTACTGAAGCGAGAGACTGGAGTTGGACTCCAGCATCTGAAGTCGTTTGTGCACCGACTTGAAAAAGGACTCTTGCGTAGTTGGGTTTGCTGACGGTGGCTGGGTCATACTCGACCTGGTCGGTTCCGCGATACTGGTGGCTTCATCCTTTGGTGGCACAGTAGACTTGTTGTCCGCTTCCGTTACGGCGTTTGGGGGTGCAGTCTCAGAGTTCGCAACAGTCATTGAGGATGATGAGTCCGTTGCAGTTGATCCCGCCGCACTCGTCACCTTTTGGTCTCCTGGTTCTCCGGACGAAGCCTCCTTGCCTTTCCCCGAAGCCACGGTATCTTGCGCCTGAGATGGAGACGCTTCGTTTGAATCAGGTCGGTAGGGTTGGGGCTGGGCTGCCACTTCAGGTCCAGCACTAGTAGCTGGCGCCTCCTGGTCGTCGCAGGTATCGAGAAGCCCCAGAAGCTCACGCAGCTCCGGCACATCCATGTCCGACCCAGACTGGCGACAAGCCTCTTCCTCTGGGACGCTGGTCGAGACCGTGTCGGCCGGCTCAGCAGTCGCTGAAGTAGGCACTTCCTCAGCCGTAACTGTAGTCTCCAAATCCGGGGCCATAGGAGCCGGCACCGTTGATTCTTCGGTTATCTCCTCCTCCTCATCATCATCTGCGGGGCCAGCCTCCCCATCATGCTTATACTCCTCCAACATGGTTGTTCCATGGATACGAATCAAGCTCAACGGACAGAAGAACTCGTTCCCGTAGTGCGTGAGGAACTCAATCTTCACATACCGCGCCCAGATGAGCGGATTCTCGACCGCAAAGGCCTGCACCTCCCGCGTATTGCGGGCCTCGTAGACTCCCAACTCCCGCCACTGGTCCAATTTGGCGGGATATCGATCTGAGACGCTGACCCGGAACGTGTGGAAGATGGAGCTGAAGAACTCGTAGTTGGCGAGCACGACGGTGTCCACCAGGATGTCGTCGCAGAGTTCCAGGATCAGGAATTTGTTCTTCGCCCGGCACTCATTCAGCATGTAGCTGTCCTTGTTCTCAATGAGCACGGACGACGACCCGCTGCACTCCGGGTTCGTCTTGAGCACCGTCGCCGCGCAGTCAAAGGACGCGTAGTTGAACCGTTCTTTGCAGGTCGTCCCCGCGTCCTTGGACCGAGACACCCCGGCCTGGGGCATGCCCTGCGCCGGTCCACCATCAGCGCCGGCCTCGTGTCCAGCCCCCGGTATCCGCTCGCCTCGCGCCTCGGTGGAGGACGAGACCATCGCAGTCCACGCCGTGGGCCGCGTCGCCTCGGGCGTCGTATCTGCGCCGAAGCCCCCAAAATCCAGCTCAATCTCCGCATCGTCGCCTAGCGAGTCCAGCGCATTGTTGATCCCCGTGGGCCGTCGCCGGTCCTCCTTGCCCTGGGCCACGCCACCACGGCGACTCCCGCCCACATTCTCCGCGGACTGTCCCACCTTAGCCAGATTCTGCTTTTTCCAGTCTTCGAAGGACAGAAACTTCGCATTGTCGAGCGGAGAATCCGTGTCGAGCTCCTGATCGGACCGGTGCTGCTGCTGCTGTTGTTGTTGTTGTTGTTGTTGTTGCTCGTCCGCCGCGGTGGGACTCGTAACCGCCTCATGACTCGAAGAGGACGCCGACACGGTCACCGATGCGGCCCCTGGTGCCACCGAGGGCGTCAGGGAAAGAATATAAGTCGCGGCATCGACCTCGGAGCGCTGAAGTCCCCATCGTGTCTCGATGCAGACAGGCCACTGGATCAGCTGGGCGCCGAGTTTCAGGGTATCGGGCGTGGGGCAGATCGATGGAGATTGATTGGCGGCGACCCCGTCAATCCAGGTCGAGATTAGAGTCATCCAGGGAATCCATTGCGTTGCCGTCCACCCGGCCATTTTGGGGGGGCAGGTTTCCCTTTTAACGCCCAAGGGGTTGCCAATCGGGATGGATGTCTTGGAGTTGAGATTGATTGATTTTGTGTCTCGCAGCGCCGGGAAGGGCGATTGTGCGGAGTTGTTAATCGCAGTAGCAGCAGAGTAGCTTAGTGTCTCTCCGCAACTCAACTGGAAGAAAAATGGTTTGACCGCCACACAGGCGCGCGCATTTTCTGTGGAGTCCGACAAAGAGATCGCGTTTGTTTGTAATTCAGTGTGCGAGTACTTTCAGGATTTTTCTGGTCTGGGCAAAGGACAGGAAATGCAAGGATACGACAAGCACCCTTTGTTGACCTTCCCCAGCCTCTTGTCTCTCGCTCTCCCTATCCTGTCAGCAAAGAAGAGAAACACTCCGGCAAACGACACGTTCTGCCAGAAGGAAGTCAAGGTTGTCACACAACTGAAAGAGGGGGACTCCGCAGTGGAGACGACCTCAACTTGGCTCACCGTCAGTCCGCTCGGTCACTGGAGGCGGAGAAGAACAAGAAGATTAATTT